CGGTGGGGGGTAGCTTGAAGCCAATCCGAGTGGCATCTACTCACGGCGCTAATAACAGTAGGGGGCGACACTGAAAGCCTGGGATTTTGCCGTCGACGAGCCGAGCTCCGAGACTGCGCCTATCCCGAGCACAGGGGGGTCACTGACACGGCCGCGTAGCGGCCGTACCACGCACGTTAACGAGTTAGTGAGTTTAGGCCACCTATCATCATCCAGCTAAATAAAACTGCTGGTTGTGGTGGTCCTCTCCCAGCTCGCCGCTTCCCCGGGGTCCGGGGTGGCGCGGCTTATATTTTTTGGCCCGCCCACCATCATTCGAATCAACTGTTCTTAAAACAGCTCATGAGTCAACCGATAGACCATTGATCGATTGGACTCTCTGAGTAGTCATGGACAGTGATTATGGTGGGCGCCAAAACACCCCCTGGCGACCCTCCCGCTGGACCCCAGCGCATCAGGGGTCCGTCCAACATGTCCTCTGGAGGACCAAAGCTGAAAAGCAGCCATCCATGCCGAAACTCGGCTGTGGACGGGCTGCCGAGCACGACGCGTGCCGCGGCTCAAACCTGGTCAACGACCCGAGAAACGCGCATTGGGGACACCCGCGACCGCTTCGAGACCCTCGCAGACACCCCTCGAGTGCCTCAGCCGCGTAGATCGTCCTCTGGACCCGGCGCTGGCCGCCACGACCACTCGGAGCGTTCGACGCGCGCCGCCGGGGCTGCCACGCGCGCGCGCGTAATCTCGGACATGAGCAATCCGCGGCACGCGGGGAATCTCATCGCGGCACTGTCCCTTCGCGATTCCCCGAGCGCCGCGGATCGATCGATGCCCCAGGACCGACATATCGCCCCTCGACGCGTCGAAATGGCCCGGATCCAGAGGCCCCGTTCGCCCCGAAATCGTGCTCGTCTCTCGAGATCGAGAGCGGCGCGTCGAAGATCGCCCGCCGGCGCGGCGCGGGCTCGAAGGCCGCCGGGGCGCCCGGCGGACCGAGCCGCCGAACGCGGCCGTCAAAGTCGGGCGCTGCCCATCGGATCGGCTTCCCAGTGCGCTGGAGCAGCTAGAGATCTTTACGCCAGTGGACATTGCCGACTGTTGAAGGTGCCGAGCACGGATCTCTACTCCGCAGGACGCCGGGCGCTCGGATGCGCCGAATGATGCTATGGTCGTCTTCGCAGCCCCTCAACTCCGCGAATACGCCGAGATGGGCAACGATCTCAGCAGCTGTATGGACCGAATGCGCACGGATGACGCGCCGGTGAAAACAAGACATCTAGGCGATTCGGTAGGGACTCAGACGGGCGGTTACAGGGAGCGAAATGGGGCGCGCTCGACTCCCCCGACCTCTTAAAGCTGTTTTCGAGCCCACGCAGCACCACGGATCGTTTGTCGTCACCGAGGGGTCGTCTGGTTCGAAGGGTTGGGCAGCGAGACTCGAAATCGTCGATTTCGTCTGGTCGCGGCTCGGGCGCCGCGGCAGCCCGACACCGCGAAGGTTTTTGGCAGCCCCAGCTCCAGGGACGCGAGGAGGTTACCCCACGCCATCCCCGTGTCGACTCGTTCCATCGCCTCCAG